GCGTTACTTTGTCTTCTTTTAGTGTCTCTCATATTTTGCCGCAACTGTGATTCATTTGCCCTCTTTGATATCAAATCTATCTCTCCACTATTTGATATTTGAATGCTGATGAATGTTTATTTATATACTACTGATTAATTTTATCAGCAGCACACACCATAACAAAACATTAAATTTATGAGTTATTTGGTAAATCAGGAAATATTATTCCATCAGAGAATACACTTATTTGATAAAACCACACAGCGATGCAGCATGATTTATTCACTTATGGCGTTTTGAGTACAATTTATTGCTGATAATCATATCAAGGCCTTGATAAGCACTACACCGATATTAAAGGGAATAAAATAGGTATCAAACGACAGCGAATAATTCCATAAAGATTCATTTGAATGTTGCAAATGTCGAATAGATCTGATGAACCGAAACAGTTCGTAATCTCTGATTTCTAATGTCATGTAAACACAACACTGACAACCTATATTCTCTTCCATCGCTCAAATGAACAGGTTCACAAGTTCACGATCTTCTGATCTTTAGTTTTCTTCTAAAGAGGTGAACAATTAACTAGGACTGGTCATCAACGCAGACAATGAGTTAGTATGTGGAAGTCACCTCCCACGGAGGTCGACATGGTTTAATAACTTATCTTTCTTGATCAGCATTCTATGTCTAACAAAGGGAGATAAAATTATAATCAATCTTTTTAAGTCTTCTTAGTTTGACAGTTGTGCTTCATAATGGAATATGACAGAGTGGAATCATGCACAGTAAGTACGCTGGCTTTCGACAAACCTTGAAAAAGATTCTAGTGTCCGCAGAGGTAGACCTAACCTTCGAAGAAAAGTTTCTCAGAAGCTTTTATTTGTTAGAGATCTTGGAAATAAATACCGAACTTAATCATAGAAATCAAAGAAAACGTAGACGATGTGAGCATGTAATATCTTATTTATTGTATTGAATCCAATTTGGACTTTCCCGCTGATTGATTGGACCGAAGTGCTCGGCTTCAGGTTGGCATATTGGCGCTTTGTGAAGATGCCTGATTATTTAACTTGAAGTAAATTGGAGTGTGGAGATTCATTTCGTCCTATTTGGGACCCGTCATCTGGGTGTACCTGCATTCCCCAGTGTGTGTTGTTGATGGATAACGCTTTGGCATTTTAAACTATGGATATTGGGCTCAAGCCTCAGGGGGAGCACTATCACTCACTAGGGAATCCAGGTATATTCAGATGACGAGTCCCAGGCAGGGTGAAATGCACATCCTGGATCCCTCTGCTAGTCGTTACCCACGAATTTACACCTTATTTATTGCTTTACAATAAATCTAACCACAACTGACAGATTTACTAAAATATAACCAATAATTATACTGTGATTCTCGTTGGACTAAAAATGGTTAGATTTGTAGTACATTGGCCCTTTTAAGGCACTTTGTGATATTTAGGTGATTTGGATTCATCTGCGTGTATGGCAAACACTGCTGATGCAGAATAATATGGATCCACTTTATTTCATCTGAAGAAGTTTAGACCAGTTTTTGCCAACAGAAATATTCGAATTACTTAACCGGTTTTACATGAGTACGTAAAAGTGAAGAAAAATTATGGAGGAAGATAGAACAGTGACCTACCTTCAGAGCGTTCATGTGTCAGTTTTCAACTACGAAATAAAATCTAAAGTTCGGTCAGAATAAAGGTCTCTTTCTAAAAAAAAATCTAAGTAATGAGATCATAGTTATCGACGCCATGATTTGAGGTGAACAGTCGATATTTTCAGTCGAATTAATAAAGTCAAAAGAATATTTTGATTTGACACTAGTAACTAGTGTGATGTGTCTGGTCCTCCCTTTGGTGCAGACTGAATTCTATCAGTCAGGTTGTAATGTGGCCACCATTCTAGATAGCTCACCATCACGGTGCACATTGATTTGATGATATTAGATGGTTGGAGGCAATCGGCAGGAAGCGAAAGAGAGGACCAGACACATCAAACTAGTTACTAGTGTCAAATCAAAATATCCACTACAGTCCTACAGAAGGTCAATCGCAAGCCCGAATAGCTCAGTGGTAATGTCTCCGACTGCGGCTCTGGGTGACGCGTGTTCGAATCTCAGAAGGGTGGGACATGAGTTCCTTCAAGGTTGCAGATACGCCTTGCTGATGAGTGCCAACTGGCACAAAACCTAGGTCCAAGGCTTCCTGCCGATTGCCTCCAACCATCTAAGTCGAAAGAATCTCAGAATGAGTGGCAGAAGAACTGTCCCTTGATTGGGTGTAGCAAGTTTACTAATCACCTGGATGTTCAATGACAAGGTGAATTTGTCGCATCGATAACAGGACATATCATAATGGATAGGTTGGTGTTTCAGCTCAGATAGAACTGTGTCACACGATCTACTGTCAGTTAAATCTTTTATTTGAAGATCCTGGATGAAGAGAAAATATCATGCAATAAGCTCCACTGAAAATTCTCTACATCATATAAACATTGTTGAGAACAAAGTTATTACTATTATTTTTATAATGACAATTTTTTGGTCACTTCCTAGCCAGGTTGCGTATAGTTCAGTATACAGCGTTTTACAAGCAGACGAACAGTATAAACAATGTACTCAGCGCCACAGTATCAAGTAAACTTTATTTCATAATCCAATATATTTCGATCCCCGACTAGAAATATTTTTTTGAACCTCCTGACCACATTAGCGAATGTACAGCCTAGACGATGAATTATTATCCTAAATAAAGGTCGAAAATTTGACATTTTCAATAGTAAAGTAACTACTTTTGTGGTGTTCTGATACAGACATTGTGTTTCAACGGAATATCATTCTCAGATATTCCCACAGTTGAATACTGCGTTGGCAACAGAATACTATGTAAGCCAAAATCACACGCTCAATGATTGGTTGGAGAATATAAAACTGTACTTTTAATCTTTATTTTATTATAGCTTGATTCCACACAGTATTTTCGTACAAGTATGGAATTTTCAGCATGTGATATGGGTAACCAAATTTAGCAGGTCGACCATAGATATCAAGTGTGCGTCGGCGAGGGATCGAACCTCGGACCATGTGCATGGTCGGCGAGAGTCCTAACCGCTGTGCCACCGACTCACTGGTTGGCTTCACTTTTAAATAGAAGTCATTAATCAAGTATATACGACTCATTGATGATCATGGATTACCAACACGACTTGGTAAACCATTTTTTTTCCCTTCACGTTCCCCAGTGGAACATAGGGCTTCAAGCTAGTGGCTTGAAGTTTCTGTAGCAGTGTTTATTTTACAGGATGGGGTTACTAGCCTCATGCCCAACCTTTCCTCTTCACCAGCATTATTTCTGGCTCAGCAAGGTAAAGGAGTGCGTCGGCCGGAGATCGAACCCCGGGCATGGTCGGCGAACGTCCTAACCTCTATACCACCGACGCACACTTGGTAAACCAGATATATATAAATAGCGGTCTGATCACTTGAAAATATACCTTGGCTTCCGTGTCTTGTCTTCTGCTGTTACACTTTTAGATCACGATTATTCTATATTCCCTTTACTCGCTTCCTTAATCTTAGCAACCCTACCTAGGAGGTGAATACAGTGAGAAAAAACATAAATACAAAACAAGAACACCAAGAAGATATTTGGTTTCTGTTGTGTTTTTTTGGTTTTGCAAACCAGAATATGATTTTCACCTCAAGTTCTTCAAATTCCTTTTTCACCAAATGATTTAGAATTGTCATTACAACAAATAAGTGTTGTTGAATTTTCCTCTAGTACCGCTGGGTGACTTCGCGCGTCAGGTCAACACTCGAGTGGAACCCGAAAGGGAAGCGGCGAGAGGGACGTCCAAAGGTGACATGGAGGAGATCGTGTGAAGAAGAGTTGAAACAGTATGGACTAACATGGATGCAGGTGAACAGTACAGCAGAAGACAGAAACAAGTGGAGACGTGCAGTTGAAGCCCTTTGTTCCACTAGGAAGCCAAGGGAACAATAATAATATAATCTTCTATAGAATTCATTCAAAGAGATATACATTATTTTGTGAGAGAATATTTTCCCAAATTGTATTTTTATCATAGCTTGAAGTATTTTGCAAGGATTGACACATATCATAAGGTACACACACGCACAACTTTGTATACACCGCACAAACATATCATATATATCCAGTGTCGAAGTAGAGGGTGATAGTTTAAAGAAAGTAAAGATATTACTGAATTCATTCATCGTTATAAGTTACCATGACATCTCAATAAATTCTTTTTTATTGATATTTATTTCAGAAAAAAACACCAAACCACTCTCATCTCGTTTGCATGTTATTGAAGGAAATAAGGAAGTGTCTCAAACATCAGAAAAATACATTGGTAAAAGCGAATTGTATGTTGAGCACATTGGTCAAATTGTAAGCATTTTTTTATACGGATGTCAATAAAATTGAACATGAACCATTGAAAACATTGAATGAACAGTGTTTATCTTGCATCTTTTTCTCTTTTCTCTTATCTATTTTCAACATCTTTAAATGAAAACACGAGTAGATAGTAATAAAAAGAAAGTGATTAGAACTGTGCAGGAATTTTTGTTCTTCAAAATCAGTCCTCTACTTTGCTCCCTCTTCGTCTATCGAAGGCACTTACGGATGTTAGTAAGAAGAAGAGTAACTACCCTTGATTGTGTTGGTTACATTTAATTAAACAAAAAGAATCTTTATAGGATCTACCTTGAATTAACTCACATGTAGTTAGTTAACGAAGTACCATTCATATAACTATTAGGAAGCGAATGTTTAGTGTATAGCTGGAGTTACCAGATTGTATCATTCAAACCGTCATCAGAAACTGACTTTCTACTCCATGAAGAGAGATAGAATATCACTCTGTCTGGTAAATTATACTTGTTTTCTATTTATTTATTTATTTATTTATTATCTTTTTTTGTTACTCTTAATGATTGTGATGACTCAAGTGTTGTTACCTCATCATCGTCATCAGTTTGTTTTATCACCGAATGATATAAACTTAGAAAATCGACTCACACGACTCATTTTTGACGGTGTACTTATTTTATGCGTACCTCTACGTGTTAATCGTCGATTACCAAATTTTCCTGTTTTACGTCTAAGTAATACACCTAAAAATTTACTGGCTTTTTGTAAACGTTGACTTTCCAGCAGAATTAATGGCAGCAATTTACGTTTATTCATATTTGCACGTTTTTTACACGTCAATAATAATCTGCATTCATTATCAATAATTTCTTGAATAATTGCTTTTTGCTGATCATTTGTCAATGAACGTGTCATCCAACGTCTTGCAGCCCATATACTTAAAAATATAATTAATATTAAAAATAAGCCAATTAGTAATAGAGTTAATGCTGTTTGTCGTAATATTTTCACTGTAATTGGATGTTCACCAATTTGCCATAGTAGAGTATTGGTTGGATTCACATTTAAATAGAATTCATTAATCAAGTATATCCGACTCATTGATGACCATGGATTACCAACACGACTTGGTAAACCCGCAGCTGGTATGTGTAGATAACATCTCCATGTACCATGATGAGATAAATTCAAGTATTTAATTAATTGTACACGTCGATCTAAGCGTATCGCCAGTCCTCGACTGTATTCATGACCATTTAACTTCCAAACAATTTGTGCTGATTCCATCCATACAGCCATATTGCTTAATGCATTGATAACGCCTAAATTTGAATGCAGATAGAATGGATCAGCTTCTAAAGCGATATATTTTATACCGGTAACAATTAATGTATAGAATATAAGATTCCATTTGTATTTACCCATGCTGATTTGACATGTATACACACCTTGATCGCCTTGTTTTATACTCGAAAACACTAAATAGGTATCCTCCATATGAATTGATGACGAAGTATCCAATAATGAATTCCAGCGTATTTCTTCATTAGCCAGCCTATTCATCTTCTCATTGTCATGCATCCTTTTTAATTTAGTGATAGATGCTTTTGATTTCCTCTTCGAATCAGCAGTGTCAAGATTTAAAGGTCGTCCATTTTTTAACCATCTTATAGTCAATCCACTGCCGGTTAATGCTCTTTTTGTCGCACTGATAATCCCGCGTACAGATAATCTTTTAGCAAGATTATACGCCGGTGTTGCACAATCCATTCGAACCTTTTGATTTTCATGTTTACGTAGAATATTATGAAATATATAAAAATCAAGTTGATCAAGTTCAACTTGATAGGTGATTTTATTAGCAATATTGTCTGGTGCACTGTCAACTCTCCCGAAACAATCATAACTACACTGAGCTATTTGTTGATTAATACCGGAACAATTTAAACCATATGGAGGTGGTTCTGGTGGTGGATTATTACAAAGTCGATAACGACTTCTACTTCCACTACGACAGCCTTGTCTATCAATTTCTTGATTATCTTCAATTGGAGAACATGATGACCATGGAGTCCATGTTCCCCAGCCTGGAACACGTGGACAGCGTATATTTACAACGCATGGTATGCATTCTTCAGCCTCTGATTTAGATAATTCTGTATTCTGACACATTGATGTTGATGGCTGAACAATACCATAGCCATCAATACAATTTCGAACTCGACATCTCACTCCTTTGCCACAAGTAACAGAACAAGTGAGTGGTGTTTGGGACCATTGACCCCATCTATATTCCACATTTCTATTGGCAAATAAATACTCGCTTAAATAAAGTAGTATAATAACATAAATGATCCAGGAGTAATAATTTAGCATTGAAGAAAAAGCTTATCCATAAGCGTTCTTTATAAGCTTCTAAAAAAGGTGTTACAAAGGTTAATTGATTAGATCAATCGATTAATATTATTTTTGAATAATATAACACATCCGAAGTGATTGTAGAAAATAAATTTCTAGGTATTACATTTATTAATTCTAATCTTCAAGAATATCCTTTTCTCAAAAATATTTATGAAAAATTATACTTCACAATCCTTTGCTCATAAACATATTGGTGGTTGCGAATAGGAAGTCGAGCTAGATCCAGGATCTCATCATGAGCTGACATTAGTTAGAGAACCATTGGAAAACCTGGGAGTACTAGACAGTTGTCCCGTCCTAGTTTGGGACTCTTCAGTAGTATGCACCCACCGGGTCGGTTTTCGACATAGAGCTTTGCACATATGTGCGGCAGTTCAAGTCGCCACACTCCATGTAACCCACCGGGATTCGAACCCAGGGCCTTCTGGCTACAAGGTGAGCTCGTATACCATTAAGCCACGGGGACCCGACCCAATGGCCCATGAATTCTAACTTCTGCCAATTCACGACATAGCGCGACCCCTAACCAATGTCTTCGGTGAGTATTTGTCCTCGCACCCGAACCAACAACCGTACCTACAAGACACTATGAAGATGAAGAGTAAGGCTAAGTGTGGCTTAGAAAAACGTCCCACATAAAAAAACGCTGGGTTACTGTGAGTACCTCGAAATCTTGACGCTCATGAGTCCCTATTGATGAAAAGAGAGAGAATAACCTACATAAGACTTACGTACAAAATCAAACTGTATTTAAGCAAGAACCAGCTAAATATGGTGGTCTTAGTGTGAGATAAGAGAAGTAACTGCATCTGACAGGAGGCAAATTATTCAGAGAAGGAAGCAGGAAAAAAGCATGGTGTTCAGTGACATGAACTTTACGGCAGATGGAACATCGGGTAAAAACCTACAACGGCTAGAACACTGACTATGCAACCCACTCAACAGTTTTTTTTGAGTGCTCTGCTCAGTGTCCTTTACTGTAAGGCATAATTTTCCATGGTTAGTTAACACCGATCCATTTAAGTTGAGTCTTGAAATGAACTCCAAATACTTCGGCACCATAAACCACACGGGCTAGACAATCCAATCTTGGATTGTTTTAAAGATGGTGGTGAGACAGTAGTTAGGAAACTGACTGGGTGGTTTATGAAATTGTGAAAATATGAGAATCCCATCAAAGTGAAATAAGGCCATCACTGCGCAATTCTTAAAAAAAGGATCTACGGAATGCATGCGACAATCAGCTGGGTATCAGTCTGTTACAAGATGCGTCTAAAATACTAGGTGCTGTGGTGCTCCGCAGCCCTGGTTATTGACTGAGTCTTTCTAGCGCTCGTTACTGTTAGTGGTCGCAGAGTTAAGAGAAGATGAGGGACCTGCCTGTGAAACAGTATTAACAAAAGGAGGAAAGCAAGATAAAGGTGGCGAAAATAAATGTAGGTGAAGATCAGGAGAGCTTTGTCTGCTTTCGGAAGTATGTGGGCAGTTGTTGATTCCCGGTCACTTGCACCGTGGAAGTCGGCTTTTTTTTCTTCGGATACCTGAGACAAAAAGAGTATTAGTGTTGTGCGGCTGCAGAGCCTAGGGAACAACTGCCTGAGGCCAGTTTGAATTGTCTTTTGGTACTGTATCCGTATTAAGATCTTACCGCTGGCTGCGGATCACAGCAAGTTGAGTGAAGATCTGCAGTTCTTAGGGTTAACCTCTTCTAACCCCGTCTTCCCAAGGCGGGGAGACAGCAATGCTGGCATGAAAGTCATCCAAGAAGAACACCTCACTGCCGTCACATCCCTACTAGCCACCAGTACAACTTTGTCCAATGAACTCCAAAATGGTGCAAACAACTTATACTGTGACGGTAACTGCTTTTAGTCTAATCGCTATCCAATCAACCGTTCTGGAATGGTAGAACCTGTCGAACTAATATTCCTATATTAGTTCCAGGAAGTGTAGCTCATTGTGTCACTGTGATATGCAAGCTCGACCACCAAGTCAAGGTAACAGCTTGTTTTGAGTAAGCATAAGTTGACTCCTTGGAAAGGATCCAAGAGACTATACGAGACTACAAAAGCTCAAGATATTATCAAATATGACTCAGGACTGAAAACAGAGTCAAACAACTCCGTTTTTTACAACTCAAAGTAAGATAATACAATGAACAAGCTTTGAAATGTACTTAGCGACTATAGCTACCTATTTCGTTCAGTTTCTTGACTACTTTATCACTAGGACAACAAATATACTTAGATAATATGAAATTATTTTTACTATTTCGTGGATTCCTTTCTACCGGCTTACAACCTAGACAATAGAGAAACTACAGATCACAAAGTAAGGAGTCGACAAACTTGCAGTAAACTGACAAGAAGTTATTGATGACAGGAATTACAAGTAACATAAGTCCGGAATGATGAAAAAAACTATAAAGCGTTAATTTATAACTTTCATATGATTTACACTATTAGCTATTGGAAAGAATCCACAAAGCGGTGAAAATCAGCTCATGTTACACGGTTGGAGGCATTCGACAGAAAGACATGGATATGATAGCAACTAGAATATCAACTAAGATTAGAAAAATTCCACAAAAATTGAGGATCATCCAAACCTAGATAAGGATAATGTATGAACTAGCTTCTATTGGACGCACAAATTAGCCTTCTTGATGTGGATCCCAACAGCCTCAGAAATATTTAGTAATCTAACTAACTCTTAAGGCGAAATTAAGATTTGTTGATATGCGGTGAATAACTCTGAAAGCCTGGTTAACATCAATCTTGTGTTCTGTATCCACAAGATGAGATAGAATGGCGCCACGAATAGACTTTTTTTGTCGTTTACCTAACCACACAGGGTGATGTTTGGAAATCCGACGAGAAAGACATGGAAATAGATTTTGGTGCTTACCGTCACTTATCAGCAACACGTACTTTCAATCTTGAAGGAAATGACGTGAACTCTGAGATTCGAACCCGCATCATCAATGCCTGCAGACAGAGACGTTACTGCTGAGTTATTCTTGCCTTATTCAGGTTTATCTCAATTGGAAGTATTGTATATTTTATTACTGTATAATTATCTACTCTTTGAAGTGCATCCCTTAGTGTCCATTTTGTGAAAAACATTTGTGTTTTAAATATTAATAGAAATAACTTTGGTAATACTGTTATGATGTGTAACGTACGAAACAAGAACAAGTGCACCAAAATGTCAGAACCTACTCTCTACATTCTCTAAGAGAAATTGTTCTCATCTCATTGTTCTCTCATTATGTTTGACCATTTCAAGAGCATTCTATGTCTGATTACTTTCTCTTAGGCCTGTCAACTTCAAGTGATGTACCTATATGTGCGGTGTTTCGGGTTTTTTTTCTTCCTGCCTAGTATTCATGATAAAATGTGTTTAAGTGCAAATGGGGAATAAAACTGAAACCGTGCTATACAAGGCGATATAACTGACATAAAACCTAGTATTATTATTATTATTACCATTCCCCTGGGTTCGAGTGGGACATGGGAATTCAACTGTACATCTCTATTTTATCCTGTCTTCTGCAGTTCTCTTCACAATTGTCCATGAGCTTTTATTTCCTTCTCACATGATGTCCCCCTCGTCCCCCTTGGATGCGCCTATTTGGGCCCCACTAGAGGGTCTCCTGAACCTAGTGTTATTGTGCACTAACCATAGTTGTTGTAATGTTTAATGATTAAAAACTGGAGAAATATATTATAGGATATTTATTTTCGATAAATTACACTATTCAATTGTAGCTAAAGCTTCTTCTAATTGTTTCCATGGACAAATATTTTCATCATTTGTTGCCAATAGAATACAATAATGATCGAATAATTGCATAGTCACTTCAAGATCGTCCAACATTTCTAAATGTTCTATTCTGTAAGGAGGAAAAAAGTGGAAGAAACAGTAAAAGCAATTATACATTACATTCTCTCCTTTGTGAGTATTATAAATATGCATTTCCTTTTTTTCTTCTCCAATTTATTACCGCAAAACATTTTCACTAAGGTATTTAAGACATATACAACCTAAGTGAATTCGATTCCAGCATTAATAAGGATATTATTGCCATGCTGGTGTTTTCAATAAGAGTATAGATTGAAATTCTGTTACAATTACAGTTATCTGCGAATCTTCAATCGTTAGATTAAGTCGCCAACCAAAATCAGTGGCAGATATTAATGAAAACCACGGAGTGTTGAACAGCTGCTTCGTCTAAGTTTCGGACTCTTCGGCAGTGCACACCCACGATCCTACCGGGAGTCAAACCCTCGACCTCCATGTTAGGGGATCAAGCTCGTTAATCAACGTCTCCTTGACCAGGAGAGAGGGCAACAGATCCAAAAAAGCCATAGTGCATAAAATTGCACTTCCTCGGTGATAACATTAGCGAAATAGTAACACAGAGTCTGAGGAATGCAGTTAAAAGAACACTCAAAGCAGCAGCAGAGATACACTGTCTCTTCACTACCTCCCCTATTTTACGTTCGAGAAATAAGGACAAACTACCTAATTTCGCTTGCTTTAAGTGTGTCTACCAGTTTGAATACAGCTACGGAGCCAACTACATTGGTCGTACGATCAGGCGGGTTCATAATCGTATTTCGAATACCATCGTGAATGGTTAGGCAAGCGGACAAACAAGATCCATTCGTAGCTCTGTTTTAGCACACCTTGTAGACAGTGAGCATAAAGGTGATGTTACTACAGCATTTAAAGTTATTTGTCACATCCCGACTATTCTCAATTTCGCTTTACGAGCTCGTCTCTTACATATAGCCGGAGCTATCTGAATCCAATTGAAGAAGTCAAACCTATGTGTGCAGAACAAATTTCTACGGCAACTTTCCTAACTTTGACCATCGTTTCATGAATGTAAAATCCTGACTATTTCGCCTTCCCCCCTAAGCCTCTTAAAGACTATAATTGTCCAAATA